AATCCAGCTTGTCCGACAGTGAACCCCACAAGCTTTCTGCCTATGCCAGGCAGCTGCCCCACATTAACACATTGCCCATCTTTTTCTCTAATGTCGAATAGGTCCTACATATTCATTGCCTCCGAATACCATTATGATTTACTCTACCTTCTTAAATCTTTAAACCAAGTCTATTATCCCATAAAAAAGTAATCCTTCAACTGTGCTTTATTAGACCAAAAGGTAGGCCCACTTTTGGCCACTGTGCACCGATCTAGTTTAAACTTATTGTGTGTGTATTTCATCTAAGCAAAGCTATTCTGGGTGGATTTTACTTTTTATTTTGTTTTGCTTATTTGTATTTTCTGATTCTTTTTTGTCGTAAGTGTTTGTTGGCTACGTTTTTAAAATAAATGAATAGTTATGTGTACTTCTCTCTGTGTGTGAATGTGTGTGTGTATGACTTCAGGAAAAGATGTAAAAATAAATGAGTAAATAAATTGTTGATTAAACATGAAGATTACTCCAGTAAAAGAAAGCTCAGAGAAAGAAGAAAGGAAGGAAGGGAGAAAAGGGAAAAAGAAGGATTGAGAGATGAGAAACCAGAGCAGCCAAATGAGGGAACATTACCAGGGAGGGTTCTGGAAATCCTAAACTTTAATGTGCCCAAAGCTATTTGGTTTTCATGGAACCCCATACTTCCGGTCACTGAGCCACTTTCTTTCTAAACCACGAACCCTTTAAACTGCCATTTCTCTTCTATATAAAGCCTGAGAGCCTGTATGGAGCATGAAGCAACACAGGTAACCTGGCTTCACGTCTTAGTTCTGTCACTCACCAGCTGTGTGACTTTAAGCAAGTAAAAATTTCTCCAAACTTCATTTCTTCAACTGTAAAATATGGGTAATAATAGTACCTACTTGCAGAAGTGATGTGTGGAATAGATAAGATAAGGCATACAATAGGTTTAACACAGTGCCTGAGACATAGAAAGAATAAGAAATATTTGAGTATTAATCAATTGATTATCAATCAATCAATGAGTGTTTATTAAACCCTTATACTGTGCTAATTACTCTGAGAGACATAAACCAAGATCTCCATGGCTAAAGTCAAGTAGAAAATTTAGGCAAGAGCAAATATTTGCTCATTACCTAACTCCATTTTTGGGTCCAAATAATCCATACTAGATCACTGTTCTCCTCTCTGCCTGGGACAGCACAGTCTCCATCAGTCTCAGCCCCAAGGAGGGAGCGCTCCCTTAGGACAAGCCCCTGTGACTGAGCCCTGCGTGAGGACACATAATTGTTGGTTTCTGTCTTTGAGTGACACTTAGTCTAATTCAGTACTCCAAGAGCCCTTAATTAGTTGAGTACAATTCCTGCCCATCAGACAATCCAAATGCCAACCCAGGGATTCCTCAGTTTCTTCCCACTTGAAATGCCAATGAAGCTCAGAGAGGGGTGCGGCACTGGCTTCCAGCCACACAGCTCCACTCACACCTGACAGTCAAAATTCTCTGGGAGCCGCAGAGTGTCAGGTGTAAGTGGAGCAGCATAGCTGGAAGTTAGTGCCCCTCATACACTGCTGGTGGGAATGTAAATTGGTGCAGCCACTATGGAAAACAGTATGGAGATTCCTCAAAAAATTAAGAATAGAACCACCATATGGTCTATCTATTCCACTATTTATCCAAAGAATGCGAAAACGCTAATTCGAAAAGATATGTGCATCCTCGTGTTCCTTGCAGCATTATTCACAATGGCCAAGACTTAGAAACAACCTAAGCACCCATCAGTGATGAATGGATAAAGGAGATATGGTATATATACACAGAGGAATATTACTCAGCTATAAAAAAAATGAAATCTTGCCATTTGTGACAACATGGATGGACCTTGAGGGTGTTATGCTAAGTGAAATAAGTCAGATGGAGAACGACAAATACCACATGATTTCATTCCTATGTGGAAGATTAAAAAAACACATAGATACAGAGAACAAGTTGGTGGTTACCAGAGGAGAAGTGGAGCTGGAGGGCAAAAGGGGTTAAGGGGGACATTTGTACAGTAACAGGTAGAAACTAGACTTTTGATGGTGAATGCAATATAGTGGATACAGAAGTTGAATTATAATGACGTACCCCTGAAACCTATATAATATTATAAACCAATTTTACCTCAAAAAAAATTCTCTGGGAGAGATTCCCTAGGTGTCAAAATGCAAGCCAAAAGCTGGACTACACAGGGACTCCTGTGTATTGCTCATGTCAATATAAATGGGTCTCAAAAGGCAAGCCCCTACCCTTTTTTTCACTTTTTATTTTAATATAATTGTAGATTCACATGCAGTTGTAAGAACAAGTGCAGAGAGGTGCTGATTCCTTCCTTGCATAACTATAGCACAATTTCACAACCAGGAAATTGAGATACAATCCACCAAACTTATTCAGACTTCACCAGTTTTACATGCACGTGTGTGTGCGTGTTTAGCTCTATGCAATTTTAGTACATGTAGATTCATGTAAACACTATAGTAGTCAAGATACAGAACAATTCTTCCCTCCCTCCCTACCCCACCGCCTGGCAACCACTAATCTGTTCTCCATCTCTATAATTTTGTCATTTTAAGGATGTTATATAAATGGCATCATACAATATGTAATATTTTGAGATTGGCTTTTCTTTCTCAGCATAATTCTCTTGAAATCCATCCAAGATTTGTTGAGTGTATCAATAGTTTGTTTCTTTTTCTTGCTGAGTACTAGTCCACGATCTAGATATACCACAGTTTCTTTATCCATTCATCTGTTAAGTATATTTTGGTGGTTTCTAGTTTTTTGCTATTGGAAATAAGGTTGCTTTGAATATTTGCATATAGGTTTTGTGTAAACACACGTTTTTATTTCTCTGGGATAAATGCCCAAGAGTGCAATTTCCGAGTTGTATGGTAAGTATATATTTAGTTTTGTTAGAAACTGTTATACTGTTATCCAAAGTGGCTATTTTACATACCCACCAGCAAAGTATGGGTGATCCAGGGTCCAGTTCCTAACCAGCCTTTGGTGTTATCACTATTTTTTTATTTTAACCATTCTGATAGGTGTGTAGTGATATCTCATTGTGGTTTTGATTTGCATTTCCCTGATGGCTGATGACATTGAATGTCATTTCATGAGCTTATTTGCCTCTGTGTATCCTTTTCAGTGAAATGTCAGATGTTGTCTTTGCCTGTGTTCTAATTCGATTGCTTGTTATTTTGTTTTGTTTTGAGAGCTCTTTATATATTCTAGATATAAGGCCTCTGTGAGGTATGTGGTTTGCAAGTATTTTCTCCCAGTCTGTAGTTTGTCTTTTCATCTCCTTCACAGAGTCTTTTGAAGAGCAAATATTTTTAATTTTGATGAGGTCCAACTGTTCTGGGTCATGCTTTTCCTGTTCTGGGTCATGCTTTTTGTGTCAAGTCTAAGACCTCTTTGTCTAGTTCTAGGTCCTGGTGATTTTCTCTGTGGGTTTTTTTTTTCCTAAAAGTTTTATAACTTTTTGTCTTACATTTAGGTCTTTGAGCCATTTGAGTTACTTTTTATGTAACATGTGAGATTTAAATCAAGGTTCACTTTTTTGTTTATGCATGTCCAATAGGTCCAGCACAATTTTGAACAGTGCTTTTTTGAAAAGCAACTTGGCGATGTTTATCATGAGTCAAAAGAATATCCGTAGCTTTTTTCCTGTCACTTCTGGGAATTCATCTTAAGGAAATAATGAGAAACATGAATATAAACCATAAGGTTGGAAAATAGTCACTGTAACATTTTTTATAAAATTCAAAAATTGGAAGTAATCTCAATGCCCAACAATAAGGAATTGGTTAAGTATGGTACATATGTGGAATAATATGCAACAATTAAAAACCTATTTACTCAATAACTTTCACCCATTCAGCAAATATTTACTCAGCATCCATATATGTTGGTGCCGAGGATAACATACTGAGCAAATCAGACACCATCTCTTCCTTCTAGAAGCTCACAGTCTAGAAGGCAGCATACAGAAAACAATGTTGTCTCTTAGAAAAATACGTTTGGTAAACTAAGCAAGCAAACAGGAAACAAAATTGTATGCACGAGGTGATTAAACTACATTAAAATGCATGCATATGGACAAGACGAAAAAATCATCATTCTTTTAGAGTGATTGGATCAAGGACAATTTTTTTTTTATCCTCCATTTTCCATACCTCCCGTAGCACATTCTTTTTAATAATAATAACAATAATAAAGAGAAACGCTTCAGTTGAGAAATAGCTTCTTGCCATGAGAAGATTAGGAATGTCCCTTTGCAGAGATGACAGGCACACGTCCAACAGTCCAAAGGGCACGAAAAAGGCCACCACAGAGAGCTAGGTGTCCAGCACCAGCTAAGTCATGCTGGATGATTCAGTCAGTCAGCAAGTGTCAGTGGGGCATCTGCAAGGTGACCTGCGTCACAGGAGGCACTCAGAATACATGTTTAAGAATAGACAGTCCCTAGCCTCTCAGGACACTTGCAAGAACTCTGATGTCAGTGTTGCTCACGCTTGTTCAGTGCTTTACACTTTGCAGCTTGTGTGCTCCCTCATACAATCCTCTCCACGAAGCCTTACAGCTGTTAGGGAGGGCATAATTCCCCCATTAGTCAGACAATAAGGCACAGAGAGCTTAAGCAATTGCCCAAGGTCACACAGATCTTGAATGGCAGGCCTGGGGCTTGAGACCTGGCCTTCTATCTCTAAGGCTAGCGCTGCTCTCAGAATACCACAACTGCCTGGAGAACAGCTGTGATAACAGTGGGCTCAAAGCAAGCAAACAATCCAGAGAGAGCTGTGACTAGAATTTAAATCATGTGGACGAGAAAGCATATACCTAGGGCAGGGGATGGTCACCTCTTCCCTGGGGGCTTGGAGGTGGGGGGTGGGGGTGGTGTCAGCGCAGCGAGTAGAATGGGATGCAAACACCTGGGCTCACCTCTCCTCCCTCTTCCCAGATGGTGAAGGCAATCCAGGTCCTGAGAATCCACCTGCTGGAGCTGGAGAAAGTCAATGAACTCTGCAAGGACTTTTGTAATCGTTATATCACCTGCCTCAAAACCAAGATGCACAGCGATAACCTGCTCAGGAATGACCTCGGGGGGCCGTACTCCCCCAACCAGCCCTCCATAAACCTTCACTCACAGGTAACCCGCAGGGCTGGATCTTAAGCCAGGCTCCTAAGCCAGGTATAGGAATGTCCGAAGGTCCCCTGGTGACCTAGGAAAGTGGATTAGACTCACTGGATCCTTTCACCATGAGGGCCTTCCTCTGATCCGTTCCTTCTTCTAGTCATCAGGCAGCACAGTCCCTTTGTCACCAGAGCTTACCCTGCCAGGACATTAGTATTCCCTAGCAGATGACCAGATCTGAGAAGGACAATATCCATTGTGATTCCTAGCTTTCTGACCCAAGATATCCCAAGAAATGAGCTCAAGAATTAAGGAGATGGAAAGCTTTTCTGGAGGATGAGGCAGAGACAGAGGATGACCCAGACTTCCTGGCCCCACAGACATCTCAGGAGGGCTGCCTCCTGCTGAGCTCTCTGTGTTCCTGAGAGGGAGAGTTTGGGGAAAGTGGTTCTTCCCCGAATCCTGCCCCCCTAATAGATGAAGACAGCTCCCCAGGGGACTGCTTCTCCCTGAGAATTCTCTAGTTGCTCACTCTACTCTGGCATGTCTGTCTCGCTGAAGTTCAGGGCCACTGTAAATGTCACCTCGTCACCCCCTCTCAAGATTCACCTGCCATCTTCATCCTGGGAGCTGGGAAATGTGGAAATGATGACTATGTGCTCCCGGCAAGAATGGGCTCTTCTCTCCAGGCAGAATATTTTCCAAAAGGCTGCAAACTAAGAAAGCTACCTGGCGATACCTTTCCACCAAACTCACTGGCAGCTACATAAGCCATAGGCTTACCACTCTCTTCCTCTCCCACTGAGTTTCTTAGTCCAAGACAGATACATGGAGGGTCCCCTGGGAGGTTTAGAGAGGAGCCTCATCTCATGAGACAGTCAAACTTGAGATACGGGTAAACGTCTAAGAATGATCGGCGAGAGGTGCTGGAAAGAGCGCATAGGAAAGGTGGCACCATTTTGATCTCTAAGTTTTAAGGACCAACACACGTAATCTATCTCTCCAGGTTGGCAGAGGCAGGGAAAGGGTCAGGGTGACCTCTAGAAGGCCAACCATGCCTTGCGTATTTTGACAACAAGTATCACATCAAACCCACCCCAGTGGGACCTCTGTGGGACTTGACAGTGAGTACTGCATGGGACATGAAGCAAGAAGTTTATTTCCTCTTCCCGTTGCTTGAAATCATCAAATCACTTTATTACAGATCTAAAAACAGCCGCCCAGGCTTCTGCTTGCTAATATTCTCTTGAAATAGACTCATTCCTTCAGAGTCTTATTGTACTTTCCCTTATGATCAAAATTAGCAAGAAACTTGCATAAAAGAGGACAATAATTGCTCAACGAGCATCTCGTTTGTAATTTATTAGTTTCTATTATTGTGGGTTACCATGGCGACGCTGCACAGCCCCGGTGACGGGAGAGATGCAAGATAGGAGCCGAGGAGTCTGTGAGGCCTCACCAAATGGAGATGCACATTTTTATCAGTAATTTTCATGAAAATAATAAGTGAGGAGTTAATGAGATGGAAAGCCATCCTGTGGCTATTGTGAATTTTTTTTAAGTGTTGATCTAATTAGAATGCATCGGTCAGGAAAAGTAATGAGGATTTAGTGCCTCACAGAGATGTGAGGATCATATCAGAAAATTAGCACAAGTCTTTGGAAATAATCAGGTCCTTGGAGAGGCACTGGATTTCCCCTTCTGGGCCCTCCAAGTCTACCTCAAGCTCTGGCTTTGGGGCTGTAGCAGGGTAGTGAGGGGAGAAAGGAGGGCCAGAGGGCTTAGCAGCCACAGCGGCCCCCTCAGGGTTGGGGTCCCGGGGCTGACAAGTTAGTCTGCGGAAGCAGGGTCACTGGAGACGCCGGGTTGGCTGAGGAGGATAACGTGGGCTCTGGGTGGCGAGGTCTCAGCTAAACTGCCTGCGAGAGTCAGTCCTCCTGGGGAACCCAGCATTCAGCGCCTCTGGGCTTCGAGGAGAGAACTTTGATTTTTATCACTGTAAGCATCAGATCTCTGCCTGAGCGTGAAGCCGGCCCTGGCGTGGCCACCACAAAAAGGCCTCTGATCCGCTTAGAAAGAGGAGCTCAGACAATAGGGCAAAACAAAGACACCAAGGAAGAGAGGAAAAGACACTTAGCGAGATATTCCTATTTGGTATTTCTCAAACTTCTCCCTTCATTTCCTCTGACGGCCACCACCTACTTAGTTCGGGCTTCAGTGGGTAAATAACGGAATTACACACAGGGTACGGCCATAGCTTCCTAACCTGCTCTCCTGTCTTCTCTGGCGATCCCCCAGCATGCCTACACACACACGTGCACTCACACAGGAACACTCACGTATTCACACACGCACTTAGATACACATGCACACACTTAAGCTTCGGCTGCTGGCTCTATCTTCCTAAAGCTCTGTTCATGTCATTCTTCTGCTCAGAAACTCTGCTTGCCCCCCAGAGTTTTCATATCCTTCCACCTGACATTCAAGGCCCTCCTAGGTCTGGACTCAGCCTCCCTTCTTGAGGTGCTGCAACCATTCTTGCATGCCCTCTGTTTGGGTGACACCCCCAAATCCCTGCAGGACTGAACCTCTTCCCCAAGGACAGTAGCAGGCTGCTCTCCCCTGGAGGCCTCTCCAACTCCCACCCGGAATGGACTGTCCTCTCTCTCAACTAGCTCCTGGAGCACTTTGGGCCATTTATATGGTAAATATCACATGTGACTTTGTATTATAGTCACTTGCATAAGCCTCATTTTCCTCTCCTGGATAATAAACATTATTTGAGTACAGACAGTATTTTATATATTATATCCCACAACCAACGGTGGCTACCACAGGGTCTTGTGTACGATAGATGGCCAGTAAATATCTGTTGAAAGAAGTAATACAATGAGAAAGATGGAGAGACAGAAAGATCAAGAGAAACAAGAGGAAGCCAAAGGAGAAATAAAAGAAAGACAAAGGGAAAGAAAGACAAATATTGAAGGTCAGCATTCACTGTTCAAGAGGGAGGTAGAGAAAGGTTGAAGAATTGGCGGGAAAAAGCAACAAAGGGAAAGAGACGGAAAGAGACACAGATCTCGGGAAGGGAGGTGAAGAAAGACAGGCAGGAAAGAGGAGAGGCAGCAATGGTAAGGTGAAGAAGGGACAGGCAGGATGGATGTGGGGTCAGTGCAAAGTCTGAGGTGTGTGGAGGAGGAGAAGGTGAGTAGGATGTGCCATGTGCTGTCCCCATCCACATTCCCAGGTCAGGCTCCTATCAAGGTCTCGCTGAGGTAGGTGGGGACTAGCACGGGCCTTCCCATGAAGGAGAGACCAAGAGACTTTTCAGTGCAGGAGGCAGACACAGGATCAGGGATCAGGGCACAGGATCCAGCATGGGAGACGAGAGAGAAAAGGAGTGTCGGGTGTGTATGTGTGTGTGTGTGTGTGTGTGTGTGTGTGTACACATTCGTCATGGTTCAACCTTAATCCCCCCAGCCTGAAATAGCCACACTGAGAGCCAGCCTGGCCCAGGGAGGGGTGTCTCCCCTCTGGAACATGATCCTCTGGATCAACATTCCAGCCGCCCCACTACCTTTGTTGCAAACTGCTGGCTCATGGTTTTCCCCGTGTGCTAATCATTTGGCCTTGTGTTGCAAAGTGAGAGATACTGTTTTATTCAAATTGGTCCCCCCATTCAGATGCCATATGGTGTCCACATCCAGCTCTATGGGGTCTGGGCAAATTCCCTGCTTGGCCTTCCATTTCTATATGTAAGTTTTCTCTGTAAGGGTAGAATGAGGGTAAGGAGAGGGGGAGACTGCTGCTACGAAGCAGGACTAAACCAGAGTTTCCAAGGACTTGGGCCATAGCTAGTTCTTGCTACCTCCCCAAAGCCATCCTGTACTGCCTGTGCCTAATGGCACAAAGGCATCCTTACTCCTCAGAGCCCAGGCTTCTGGCAGGGGCAGCATCCTCAGTAAGCGGGCTCATTCTAGACTCGGCGTTCTCCTGTCTTCCTAGAGGACACAAACTAAACTGTTCCACTAGGGACGACCTAACTCCCACCTCGCTCAAGTATTAATTTGACTTGAAATTCATCCCTCTTTCTCCATGGAGATTTGAGCCTGGGCTTTATTCCAGGGCAAGTCCGACTGAGCCACAGTTCTCATTTTGCTGCCAAGCATTTGAGGGACACTTACTGTATGCACCGTGCTGGGTCCTATGAGAACACAAGTGAATTGTCCAGGAGGAGCTCCCAGTCTCAGTGGGAGGGAGCTCTGAGTCACATGTGAGGATCTGGATAAATTGTGTGAGCCGATCGAAAGCTCAGGGTCCAGGGAACACTGAGGAAGGGCAGGAAAGGAGCAGCCACAGAGACGGGAAGAAGAGCCACAGGAAGGGCTCTGGATCGAGCAAAACACATGCGTGGCTCGAGGTTGCCCCAGTCACCATTCGGCATCCTTCTTCCTCCCCCAAGGAATGCTCAGGCCTCAGCCTGCATGCCTCACGGCCAGGCTCTGTTCCTGCCCAGAGACAGAATGAACAAACCTTGGTAGGGATTAGATAGGCCAGCAGGAGGATTTTGCCCATTGGGATTGGAGAAAATGCAGATTCACTGGCTTTGGGAGGACTTCCTGGAGGAGGAGGCATTTCAGGCAGGCTGGGGGAGTGGAGGGTTAGCAGGCTGTCTGGGAGCTCTAAAGGTGAGGGTTCCCCATATAAAAGGAAGTCTGGGAGAAGGTAAGGAACAGAGATAGCCTTTCAGAATCCCAGGAGAGAGGAGCCATAGAGGGTGGCGCAGTCCTTCATTCATGCACCGTGCATCTACTCGAGCCCCTATGAAGCCTTCTGAGTTTCAAGGATATAAAAACAGACATGACACGATCTCTCACCTGCACATGTAGTGATGGAGAATCTTGCAGCCAAATTTGGGGGGTGGGGGTTATGCTTTGAGGCTGATAATCATAGCCAATTGCCAAAGATTTTAAAGGTAGTGGAGAACGTAGGCAATGGGGAAAGGGCGGGAGACA